CACTCCATCCATGCTTTTGTTCCGGCCCTCCGGTCCAGTTTAAGAACCCATTGTGGCCCTCAAGTCAAAAAGTTTGCCCACCCCTGGTCTAGGGCAACCCCTGTGAAAGGGTCGTTCGACCCCCAAAGGGGTCGCGACCCACAGGTTGAGAACCGCTGATCTATGTGACACTCTGTGGTGATGGACACCGAGCAGCAGAGCACAAGGCTCTTCAGCGTGGCTGGGGCAGCCACGTGTGCACAACACGAGAAAGCAGGGCCGTGTACAGGCGCTGGGAGGGCACCTGGGAACCGTCCAGAGCAGAGGTTTCTAACCTGAGCCAGGGATCCACTGGCGGAGCCAGGGCCAGGCGCTGAGGGAAGCAGACCAGGAGTAGAGCCAATGCAAGCAAACACAGGAGGGCACAGAGAGCCGAGGGGTGGGACCTGGCTGGGTGAGGGAGGGACAGCTCCATGCTGCTAGCAGGTGAGGCCTGGGGGCCAGGGACTCTGAGCATCTCCTTGGGCCTAGAGGAAGCCACCCATCTGTGCACGGTGCACATGCCCCAGGTCCTAGCTGGGGTCTCGTCAGAGCTGCCTGGCAGTTGCAATGGCAGCTCACACTCATGTGCACACAGGGGCAGGTGTGGGAGAAGGCAGGTGCCATATGAGGCCTGCGCACAAGTGGGCACACAGGGCCAGGAGTGCAGGAGGGTGAGAAAGGCCTGGATTGGGAGAAGCACAGATGGGCTGATGGGGAGCTGCCTCACAGGAGGATGCTGTGCCCTGATTCGGTGCAGCATGGAGGGCCTGGAAGTGGCAGTGAAGGCTCAGACCCTCTGGTCCAGATCTGCCACCTGCCGGCAGCCAAGAACACAGCCCTGGGGCAGGGCTTCTAGCTTTGAAGGAGTTGGTAATACCCGCTGGGGGTTATCAGAACAGGAACCACCCACCACCTCCAGACCCTTCTCAGTGCCCTGTGGGAACCCCACTCAGGCAGGTCTCCCTGCGCTCAGACGAGCATGAGGCCACATGGACACTTTCCCTTCCAGATCGTCAGGTTTCTCCCCAGCAACAGAACGGCCCCCAGGGTGGACTGCGCCTTCCTGGTGAGTGTGACCATCCGTGGCCATCCTGGTATTGTTAGAAAACCCGTGGGGATAACTTAACTGGTTTTCCCTAAGAATATCTCAATTGTCAGCCTAATAAACCGGATACGCAAACTCCACAAATCATTGTTTAAAATAGTTTTATTACAGGGGATAAAAACCTAGTAAGAGAAAAATGTGTTATTGTTTTGATTCAAAAAGCATCTGGGACAGTATATTACTAATACACTTCAAAATGTTTGCTGGCAAGTTGGAGAAACTAAAGCACTTCTACTACTTTTTTTCAGGGGCACTTCTATTGTTTTGTCCTTTTTATCGGCTTATTTACAAAAACATGTCAGACTACCAGCAGCTATAGTTGTTTAATAGTGTATGTCTATTGGCTGCTAAGGGTTGGCATTAATTTATTCCAGATTTTCCCAAAACTAGTTTTTAAGTACAACACAAAAAAACCCTAAATTTGGCCCTGGCCAGTGTATCTCACTGGTCAGAGCATTGGGTTGAGCACTGAAGGGTCCAGGGTTCAATTCCCAGTCAAAGGGCACATGCCTGGGTTACAGGTTCGATCCCCAGCCTCAGTTGGGGCACGTGCAGGAGGCTACCAATTGCTGTGTCTCACATCGATGCTTCCCTCTCTCTCCCCGACCCCTCCCTTCCACTCTCTCTAAGAATCAATGGAAAAAATATCCTCCAGTGAGGATTAAAAAAACAAACAAAAAACCAAAATCCTAAATTTGTCTTCACTGAATGTTTCTCAAAGCTTGTTTTCACCACTGTGCCTTCAACCCAAGGCTCCCTGCTATTAGCAGTGGGCACTCCCCTCGGGTATTCCGCAGAAACACCACCCCCAACGCCTGTGATCGCTCTGTGAGGTTTGGGGTCATCTTGTTTTGTTTTCCTTTTTTAGTTACTTCAACCACACCTGTGCAGGCTGACTTGAGGTTTGTTTGTTTTTTAGTATATATTTCTATTGATTTCAGAGAGGAAGGGAGAGAGAAACATCAATGATGAGAGAGAATCACTGATTGGCTGCCTCCTGCATGCCCGCCACTGGGGATCGAGCCCACAACCGGGCACGTGCCCTGACTGGGAATTGAACTGTGACCTCCTGGTTCAGAGGTCAACACTCAACCACTGAGCCACGCCAGCTGGGCTGACTTGAGATTTTAATGGAGACCAGGGTGGCCATCCTCTGTTTCCGAGAAGCTCAAGCTATCCATCAGGCAAGTCACTGACTGAAAGCAGATCCTGATCCCAGAAAGCCACGCACACGTTCAGCCAGTGCTGGCAAACAGCCCGTACAGTCTCATCTGCTTCCATCCCATGGGCAGACAAACAAGCGTTCTGGGCTCTATGCCCCTTGGTTATCCTACAAGAACTTAAAATGGTAAACATACAAGTTTGATAAGTCACCAGGAGGTTCTGCACTAACAAAGTACACCCCCAATGGGAGCCCAGTACTGATTATAAAGATTAGATCATTTATGCTAATTACACAATCAAGTGTTTATGTGGTCCCTTACATGGTGCACACATGCACACAGCATGCACATGCCACACACGAGACATGCAGACACACATGTGAACACGTTTGCGTGCACATACAGATGCACAGCGACGCACACACATGGCACATGCATGCACACATACAGACTGGCACTCAGAGACATGCAGACACACATACATGTGCACCCAGGCACCCAGATCCGGCCTTGCTCAGATGTGGCCTCTCCTCCCCCAGGACCAGCACCACAAGGACGTCCAGCCCCTGCAGGTGGAGTACTACCCGCCCAACGGCACCTTCAGTCTACACTATTTCCCTTACTATGGGAAGAAGGCACAGGTAGGTGCTTTACTTTCGCCTACAACAGCTACTGAATCATTTCAAACTTAGCAATGATTGGCAAAAGGAAAGCCCTAAGTACCTTACCTATAAGAACAAAATAAGGCATTACTTAGCCCATTCTGACCAGTTACCGCTCTCTGGCTGTTTCCCAAACCCATGTTCTCCTAACTACCTGAAAACACATTGTTCTCAGGTAAAATATACATATCAAATCTAATTGTTTTAGTTTTCGACAGCCTCCAGATCCTTTTACACAGCTGCATATCCATTTTAAAGCACTTCCTCTCACTCTCTTGCTTCTTCCTGATGTTTATGTTTATTTTCACCAAATATCAAAAATTTGAAGTTGAATGTGTCACTGTTAGTGTCTGTCCTCTCCAGAGCAATGCTCGTTTCTGAGTGGGTAGACAGTGACCCCGGTGAATTCCAGGGCCCGGAGCAGGGCCTATGTGGCCTTACTCAGACAGAGAGCATGTAAGAACTGCCTCTGCCACCTGCATGCCTGCGCTCAGCACAGGTTCCTGACTCTCTCCCCTTCCCACGCTTCCATTCCAGCCCCACTACAGCAACCCGTTGGTGGCCGCGAAGCTCCTCAACGTCCCCAAGAACACCGAAGTGGTCGTCGTGTGCAAGATCCTGGCAGAACATGTGACCTATGACAACCCCCATGACCCCTTTGAAGGGAAAGTGGAATTCAAGCTTAAAATTCACAAGTAAAGGACCAAGGAGGCCGGCCTTAACCTGCACAGTAACTCGCAGACCCCCACCCTCTACAGGGCTGCCCGCCGACGCTGCACCACGCCAGCCCTCAGACGTCCAAACGCCAACACGAAGGCAGCTCCGAGACGCCAGACAGGCACCTGTACGCCAAGCACTCCACGTCAGAATCAGCTATTTCTTATCAAGTCTTCATTATTTTTTAGACAGAATTTGTAGCTACAATAAAAATGTTGGGTTAATGTGGTAACCCTAAGGCAGAAGCTATCTAACCAGACCCTAAATAATTTATTTCTTTCTATACAAACATCACTTTTCTTACTATAACTTATTTTTTCTATTAAGTCGATGAACTACCACCCATGTTAATATAAAGACTATCAATACGTTGATATAAAACATGACATGATAATGTACATCCTGGATGCTTGCTTCAAAAAAATGCAGTTTCTAAATTGTAAAAATAAATATATTAAAAAGCCACTCTTACTCTATATAAAACAGTCATGTGTTTCCTGATTTAGGGGGGAGAGGGGAATCAACTAAAAATATCAAACACCACTTTTTAAAAAATCCTCTTTTTAAAGTTTCCATTGCAAGTCAGGGAAATTACAAAACCGTTACAGAGGGACTGTCGCCTGAGAGCCGGCACAGTTTCAGGTCATACGAACTAGAGGTAAATACAACCAGTTAACCTTCCCTTCACCAGCACAAGTCCTTCCTCCAGCACCAGGAACTCGTGTGAAGTCTGCAGCTCCAGGCCTTTCGAAAAGACTGAAGTGAGAACATGCCGTGTGAATGAAGCTGCTCTCACCAAGCGTCACCCACTCTTCACCCAAACCATAGCGAGAGGCCTGCGGCCCTTCCCGCGGGAGTGTCAGACACGTCGCCACAGACAGCTGCACCCAGACACCGGACAGGGAGACCCGTCAGCGTGAAACCCGGTTACAAACACAGTGTTTGCCGAGAGGATCAAAACCCTGTGAGAATTCTGCAAGGCCAACTGAGTCGTTATTTGCTGGGCAGCTCTACTGCGTAAGACATGAGCAAGTGTTTCCTCACTGCTGACACAACCAGTAAAGACTTTCTGAGCTAACCTGGCCGGTGTGGCCGTGTGGCTGAGCGTTGAGCCATGAACCAGAGGTCCCTGTTCGATTCCCGGTCAGGGCGCATGCCCGGGTTGCAGGCTCGATCCCCAGTAGGAGTGTGCAGGAGGCAGCTGGCCAATCATTCTCGCTCGTCATTGATGTTTCTCTCTCTCTCTCCCTTCCTCTCTGAAATCAATAAAAACATATTAAAAAACGTTTTGAGCCACCTCAGAAATCTCACAGCAGAGGTCAGAGGTCAGATCCCCTCAGGTATGTCATGATAACGTAGCACTGGAGGTCAGAGGTCCGACCTCTTTTCTTACCATACCATCTTCTTTTTCTGAAAGTCAACCCATAAAATACGCCTCAACTGTGAGGATTCAGGAGAAAAGCAGGAAAACACTCTCTCCCCGCACCATGGCCACAGGAGAGGAGGTGCTGCTTCGGTCGGTGGCCCTGTGACATCCTCCTTGGGGCCACGCCATCCCTCGGGAAGCTGCAGGACAAGCTGGGGGGCCCGTGGTGGGGTCCCAGCCCCCTACGCGTGGGCCTGACAACGTCTCCTCACTCCAGCAAAAAGCAAGACTAACAGGATAAAGTAACTTCTAGACAGTAATCCTGAATTAGAGAAACACAGCTTGTTTAAAATGCCCATGCGCGTTTTATTAATAAAAACTAACAGTGCCAAGTTAAACAAGTCAAACAATTAAAGTCTCTTTATATTCCATAAAATATTACAGAAAAGTTTATTTGTGTTTCAATAAAAAGACTATTGTTTTAGAACAGGCAGCTAACAGCAACTGTGCAGTTAATGGTTCTTCGTGGATAAATTTTAAAAGAAGCTACTGCCTGTCCTGAAATTCCTTTTCCTTTTTATAAAAAAAGAACTATTAAAAATGATTGACAAATTTTGAGTTAAAAAACTGTTAAAACATTCTCTATATTTAATTTCAACTTTATAATAGATTACAGGAAGATGCTCATGAAACAAATACAACATTTGTTTCAGTACATGTCTTTAAATGATAGACTTATAAGTATGTAAACAGCTATATAATAAAAAGTTCCCAAACGCTGCCTGTAAGAAATCAGGCAAATTTTACCATAAGCAAAAAACCATCCCAAGCTTTCCAGAGTTTTCACAGCTGCACCATACGGCAGTAAACTACCAAACCAAACACACAAACACAAATGAACAACTTTGAATGTTCGCTGCACCATAGACAAAAAAAAAAAAAAAAGAAAAGAAAAGAAAAGAAAGAGAGAAAGGGAAAGTATATGGAATCACACAGTCAATATAATTTAAGGGGAAATACATCATAATAGGCTTTGTGGTGCTCAATGTTGTAAAGCAGCTCTGCCATTGGCCTGGTTCTGCGGACGCCCCAGACAAATGGGAACTCGGCCTGGAGCCTCACTCGCCGCCATGAGGTGGCACCATTCACCACGCGCTGCAAATAAGTGGCCTTCGGGGTGGCCTCGACAGGAGGACGGCATTTTCGTTGATGTAGATGGAGCACAACTTCTTCAGCAAACTCAGCAAGAATTGTTAAGGGGCAAAAAGGAACTCTGAATTTTAAAAAAATAGAAAAATGAAAACACAAAACCCTACCAAGTAAAAGCCCTGCGCCAGCGACTAGAATCCACACACCGCAGCCCGTCTAAGACCCTGCAGAAAACAGCCCTCGCTTGCTTATCAGAGGTGCACGTCAAATGCAATAGCTTACCAATATCTTCTTGGGAGGAAGCCAAAAAGAAACAGGAAAGCCCACATTAAGAAAAGTTTCTCTTTCCTAAACATGTTTTCCTGAAGCTGAACTTGAGGGGAGCGGGGCCTGTGAGCACACACTTCAGTCTTCCTCGTCGTTTTCGTACTCCTCGTCCTCGTCGTCATCCTCCCCGACGTAGGACACGGGAGTCTCCACCCTGGACCCGCTGTACTGAGACCCACTGGAGCTCGTGGCCAGCATCCCATCCGCACCGTTGGTCAAGTCACTGCAAGGACAGGAAATGACACAAGGGCATCAGTGACCCATATGTGTCGCCCGTGCCAAGGACAGGCATGCATCTCAGAGAGGTTTGGGTAGTTTCAGTTATACAAACAAAAGCAGAGAGTTTCACACATCCACAACACCGAGTCCCCACACTGTTACTAGTTCCACCCCTTTCATACCCTCTCCCACCCAACTTCGTCCTCTTGAATATAACCAAGAAGACGGGGGGAAATTGGCAAGGCCACGATACTGCATCTCCCCCCCTCCCCCATTTATCATTACATCAGAAACAGAGTCCCAAAGCTATAAACTGAAAAGCCGTTAGATCCTCTTTCCAGTCCTTTTACTTATGAACTCCTTAATCTCCAGGGAGGCAGAAAACGATTAGGAAAAAGAGGCCCCAAGGATGGCATGGGACCCTCCAAAGCAAGGCTCCCTGGACAGCAGCGTGGGGCAGTGTGCCCATTATGTGTTGTGTACCTGTGATGGTAGGTGTGTGCATGTATATGCACGTATGTGTGCATGCATGTTTAAATCACAACCTTAGGCCCCAACCTCAGCTCCTCTGGTGTCTACCGAGAGCCCAGGAAGCTGAGCTATGACAGGGGAGTCTCATGCAGACACTCTCTCTGAAACCTATGCTTCCAGAGAGGTTCCAAGGACCCCCAGCCTTCTACAGTTTTATAAAATGGCATTTGCTGAAAGTTAGTGGAACTGGCCCTGGGCAGGGACCAAGGACCCAAAAGGGTAGGGGGAGCAGCTGGGCTGCACAGCCTCCCCCCTTGGGGGGAGGGGCGGGGGGGGGCGGGGGAGAGGGTCTGCATTATGCTCCTGGGAGCCTCAACCAGGAACATGTGAAAATTTGATGTCACAACTAAGGGGTGCAGGTATTGGCATCTGAAGCCAAAGGTGCTACCAAACAGTCCCCAAGACACAGAGTGCGCCCACAAAGAGTTGTCTGGCCCAAAATGTCAATAGTGCCACAAACGGCCTAAAACGGTAAGAGGCTATAAGAGCTGGGATCCTGGTGAACGACTCCTGGGTTCAGTCACCACCCAGCATCCCAGCACAAAGCAAGTCAGACACCAAGGGTTAGTTATCATCCCGGGGCACCAACAGGGGATGGCCACGCCAGCCACGCAGAGGAGGGACAAATGCACAAATCCACCATGAATTGTGACATACTCCGGTTTTGGTCAAAAGTCACTTCAAGCCTGGCTGGCATGGCTTAGTGGTTGAGCATCGAGCTATGAACCAGTCACGGTTTGATTCCCAATGCCTGGGTTGGGAATGCCTGGGTTGCAGGCTTGATCCCCAGTGTGGGGTGTGCAGCAGGCAGCCAATCAATGATTCTCTCTCATCATTGATGTTTCTATCTCTCTCTCTCCCTCTTCCTTTCTCTCTGAAATCAATAAAAATACTTTTTAAAGAAAATAGCTCTACTTCTTTAAAAAAAAAAGTCATTTCAATTTTGTAGTATTTGAGTTGAGCAGCAAGAAAAGGATCCCAAGAAACATCAAGTATTGAAGGGAGGCCAATCTAGAATTTAAAATCTGATCCAGATCATGCAAATCCTAGCCTCCAAGGATGCTTCCTGTAACTAACTCCAAGTTGCCCCAGAAGTGGCACAGAAAACCCGACTGAAGATACCAGAGCATAAAGACTCCATCAAAAAATTATTAGACTTAATACATGAATTCAACAATGTTGCAGGATACAAAATTAACGCCAAGAAATCTATGGCATTTCTATACACCAATAATGAATTTACAGAAAGAGAGACTAAAAAAGCAATCCCATTTACCATCACACCAAAAAAATTAAGATACCTAGGAATAAACTTGACTAAGGAGGTAAAAGACCTGTACTCAAAAACTACAGGACACTGAAAACAGAGATAGAAGAAGACATAAATAGA